TGGATAAATGAAGGAAAAAAGAAAGAAAGAAAGAATGAAAGAAAAAAAAATAAAGAAAGAAAGAAAAAAAGAATGAAAGAAAGAAAGAAAAATAAAATGGATAAAAAAATGAAATAAGAAAGAAAGAAAGAAAAAAAAGAAAGAAAGAAAGAAAGAAAGATAGAAACGTAACGAAAGAAAAAAGAATATACAGGATAAACGAAAAAAAGAAAGAAATAAAAAATATGTAAATTAAAAAAGAAAGAAAGAATAAGTGAAAAAAAAAAGATATAATATTGCTAATACGATATTGATAAAATTAACATTCATTTATAGTTACGAATATCTTGATTAAAGTCTGAAACGGAAAGCTTTATTGTTGAAGCGCAAAACTTGAGTCTTTTCATTAGAAACTTTCAGGCAAATATCATACATAATAGTGTGGATTCAAAATGTAGGTTCTGTGACAAATATCAGGAAACCAAAGACCATTTAATCTGAGGATGGTTTGCATTTGCGCCAAATGAATATAAAAATCGTCACGATAGAGTGGGGTAATATTTACACTGGACAATGTGCAAATATTTATGAAAGGTTGTTAATAAACACTGGTATTAATATCACCCAGCACCAGTTAAAGAAGAGATCACAAATTTTATGGGATGACACCATCTTTACAGACAGGAAGATTGAAGCAAATAGGCCGGATATAATTGTCAAAAACGGAAAAGAAAAAAAAACTTGCCTAAAAATTGATATGACTTGCCGAGTGGACTGTAATATAGCAACCAAGAAATTTGAAAAAAAAAAAACTATCGAAGTATAAAGACCTGGAAATCAAATAAGAAAATTGTGGAAATTGAAACCAAGAAAAGTACCAGTCATAGTAGGTGCGCTTGGAATGATAAAAAAAGGAACACAACACATTGAAAAAAAAACAACAACAAAAAAGCTGGAAATCCCAGCTTAAGAGAAATACAAAATAATGTCTTGATAAGTATAGTTTGCAGAGTAAGAAGAACATTGTCAATGTAACGATAGTAATGTTATAGGAGTTAGAAAAACAAATCATGAAATTTAACCATAACAACACACTGCGACCTGCTTTAGATCTTCCCGTAGACTTGGAAGATAGTGTGGCCATAGCAGACAATGGAAAGATAATAATAATAATAATTTATAATAATAATAATAATAATAAAAATTATTATTATTATTATTATTATTGGTATGAAATCCACCCAGATCCGGTTGCGGAGATAGGACCTGTTACACTTTTATGGGACTACACAATATACACAGACAGAACACTCAAAGCTAACCGCCCATACATTGTTATTAGAGATCGAACACAAAAAAGGTGCCTCCTTATTTATATGGCAGTCCCTGCAGACTGTAATGTATCTTTTAATATTTTCAAAAATCTATCTATCTATCTTGAAATCGAAATCTCAGAAATGTGGCACATGGGAGCATCAACAATTCCCGTTGTCGTTGGAGCCATCGGATTGGTTGGAAAAAATTCCAGTAGATTAATTGAAGGGATTCCTGGAAGCCCATGCCTCAAAGAAATACAAAAAAAATTGTTCTCACGTGTACAACCCACACCTTACAGAGGGTTCTATCTATGGAAAATATGTTTGTGTGTGTTTTTTAATTGGTCAGTATAAAAAGGTCGTGATGCCATATCTAACCTTAGGTCTCCGGGCGGGACCCGGAAAGAAATGAGTACACAGCAGAAATCAAAGGAAATGAAATAATAATAATAATAATAATAATAATAATAATAATAATAATGGAAGCTTTGAAGATAAGATTATCTGGTTAAATTATTATTATTATTACTATCTAAACTAATGCAGGAAAAAATTGAAAAAATATATGTATTATAAGTAATAATAATAATAATAATAATGGAATATTTGAGGACAGACTTTTCAGTATTTGTTTAAAAGAATAATAATAATAATAATAATAAAAATAAAAATAATAATAATAAAAATAATAATAAAAATAATATTAATGGAATATTTGAGGACAGGCTTTTCAGTATTTGTTCCAATAATAATAATAATAATAAAAATAATAATAATAAAAATAATAATAATAATAATAATGGAATATTTGAGGACAGACTTTTTCAGTATTTTTAAAAATAATAATACTAATAATAATTAAAAAATAATAATAATAATAATAAAATAATAATAATAATAAAAATAAAATAATAATAATAATAATAATAAAAATAAAAAATAAAAAAAATAAAATAATAATAATAATAATAATAATAATAATAATAATAATAATAATAATAATGGAATATTTGAGGATAAAACTTTTCAGTATTTTTAAAAATAATAATAATAATAAAAAAAAATAATAATAATAAAAATAATAATAATAATAATAATAATAATAATAAATAAAAAAAAATAAAATAATGTGGAAAAATAATATTGAGGACAAACTTTTCAGTATTTTTTGAAAAGAAAAATAATAATGAAAAAAAAAAAAATAATAATAATAAAAATAATAATAATAATAATAATAATAATAATAATAAAAATAATAATAATGGAATATTTGAAGGACACCAAAACAGAAGTGAATTTGCTTAAAAATAATGAATAATAATAAAAATAATAATAATGGAATATTTGAGGACAGACTTTTCAGTATTTGCTTAAAATAATAATAATAATAATAATAATAATAATAATAATAATAATAAATGGAGGAAAATATATAAGGAAATTAGAGCGAAAAAGAGTGGAAGAACATAATCTTCACTATGGGATCTGCCAAGTCTAAAAAATAATTGGACGCTGAACGTTTTAAATATGAAGAAGAAGACAGAAAAACAAGCAAATAGAGATAAGGAAGTAAAGAGGGAGGGGAGGAAAAAGAAAGAAAAGCGAATAAAAAAGAGAGAGAAAAAAGAAAGAAGGATACGGAGAAAAGAAATAAAAACGAAAGAAGAAAAAAGAAATGGAAAAAAAATAGATTAATTAAAAAAAATAATTTAAAAAAAAAATGAATAAGAATGAAGAAAAAAAAGGGAAAAGAAAATGGAAAAAAAATAATAATAAAAAAAAGAGAATAGGGAAAGAAAACGAATGATGAAAAGAGAGGGAATGAATGAAATAAAAGAGAAAGGAAATGAAAGACAAAAGAAAGAAAGGTAATGACGAAAAGAGAGTGACAGAAAATAAAAAAAGAAAGAGAGAAAGAAAGAAATATGTAAAATAGTGAAAAGAAAAAAGATAAAAACAAAGAAAGGGAAGGAAAAATAAACGAGGAAAAACGAAGAAATATGAAAGAAAGAGAATTACGAATAGAGAGAGAGGAAAAGTACGGAAAAGAAAGAAAGATGGAAGAAAAGAGACACAAGAAAGAATGAAGGAAATAAAGAAAGACAGAAGAAACAGAAAGAGAAAAGAAAGAGAATTGAAAAAGACAAAAGAAAGAAAAAAAGAAAAAGAAAAAAAGAAAAAAAAAAGAAAGAAAAAAAAAAAGAAAGAAAAAAAAGAAAGAAAAAAAAGAAAGAAAAAATAAAAAGAGACACAAAAAAAGAAAATAGAAGAAAGAAAGAAAGAAAAAAGAAAGAAAGAAAGAAAGAAAAGAAAGAAAATAACGAAAGAAAGACAGAAGAAAGAAAAAAAAAGAAAGAGAAAAAAAAGAAAAAAAAAGAAAAAAAAAGAAAGAAAAAAAAAGAAAAGAAAGAAGAAAGAAAGAAAGAAAAAAGAAAAAAAAAAAGAAAAGAAAAAAGAAAAGAAAATAACGAAAAGAGACACAAGAAAGAAAGAAAGAAAGAAAGAAAGAAAAAAAAAAAAAAAAAAAAAAGAGAAAAGAAAAGAAAGAAAATAACGAAAAGAGACAAGAAAGAAAGAAAGAAAGAAAAAAAGAAAGAAAAAAAAAAAAAAAAAAAAAAAAGAAGAAAAGAAAGAAAAATAACGAAAAAAGACACAAGAAAGAAAGAAAGAAAAAAGAAAGAAAGAAAAAAGAAAAGAAAGAAAAGTAGAAAGAGAAAAGAAAAGAAAAAAATAAAAAAAGACACAAGAAAGAAATAAAGAAAAGAAAGAAAGAAAGAAAGAAAAAAGAAAAAAGAAAGAAAGAGAAAAGAAAGAAAATAACGAAAAGAGACAAAAAGAAAGAAAAAAAAAAAAAAAAAAACAAAGAAAAAAAAGAAATTTGAAAAGAAAAGAAAGAAAATAACGAGAAAAGAGACACAAGAAAGAAAGACAAGAAAAAAAAGAAAGAAAAAAGAAAGAAAGAAAGAAAAAAAAAAAGAGAAAAGAATAAAAGAAAATAACGAAAAGAGACACAAGAAAGAAATAAAGAAAAAGAAAGAAAGAAAGAAAGAAAAAAGAAAGAAAAAGTAGAAAGAGAAAAGAAAGAAAATAACGAAAAGAGACACAAGAAAAAAAAAAAAAAAAGAAAGAAAGAAAAAAGAAAGAAAGAAAGAAAAAGTAGAAAGAGAAAAGAAAGAAAATAACGAAAAGAGACACAAGAAAGAAAGAAAGAAAAAAGAAAGAAAGAAAAAGAAAGAAAGAAAGAAAAAGTAGAAAGAGAAAAGAAAGAAAATAACGAAAAGACACAAAAAAAAAGAAGAAAGAAAAATATAACAAAAAATCTACGGAAGCAAATAAAAATTGTGATATAAAAATATCTTTAAAGACAACGAAAATAATGAGAGCATTTGGATGGTTTAGAGAACACAGAGGGAGGGAGATCAATGAGAAGAAGAGCCAGACCGGTGCCATGGCGAGGGGCCAGAAAGGGAGAAGTCAATTTAAAGAAGACAACAAGCTCCATTATCCAGAAGCAACCACCACCCTACAATCCCGCCGGTCATAACGATCCAATTTAACACTTGCTTTTACAGTGATTGCAATGACTACAGACTTTGATATGACTGTCGTTTCGTGTTTATCCGTGAGGTTGAACGTGATATGACGATACTTGACGAGACATATCGAGATTTGTTCCAACTAAGCGATGCGTTTTAACATAGATTTATGTATTTTAGGGTCGGCATCTATCTATCTATCTATCTATCTATCTATCTATCTATCTATCTATCTCAGTTATTTAAATCTATCTATCTATCTATCTATCTATCTATCTATTTAAAAGTTTCTATCTATCTATCTATCTATCTATCATTCAAAATCTGTTCATATTTAAATCCAGTATCTATCTATCTATCTATCTATCTATCTATCCCAGTTATTTAAATCTATCTATCTATCTATCTATCTATCTATCTATCTATCTATCTATCTATGTTGGTATGTTCATCTATCTATCTATCTATCTATCTAATTGGTCATCTATCCTATCTATCTATTATTTAAATCTATCTATGTTGGTCTGTTCATATTATTCTATCTATCTATCTCATCTATCTATCTATCTATCTATCTCATTTGGTCTGTTCATATCTATCTATCTATATTTAATTATCTATCTATCTATCTATCTATCTATCTATTTATCTATCTATCTATCTTTTCTATGTTGTGTGTTAATATCTATCTTCCTGAACATTAAGGAATAGAAACATGAAACATAAAATTTTGCCGTTGGGTGTTGTCGTTAGTCGCTAATTATACATACATACATACTCCGGCTTTCTTCAGGTAACATTTCGAACCGATCCCTTTATTTAGTCCATGGTGGTAAATCGTTCTAATTTCACATATCATATCTTTGAATATCTCAGTTTCAGTTAATTCCCCGTTCTAACTCAACTTTCCAAGTTTCTGGGCCATGTATCCTGAAGAAAGGCAGAGTGTACAGTGACAGAAACGTCGTGAATATGGCAAAAATGATGAAGACAACAGTTCGAACAATGTAAATAGTGTAAATAGTTACAATATCCCATCTCAGAAACATAGACAGATCCTGAAGAAGGCCAGGGCGTATAATGGCCGAAATGTCATGAATATGGCAATAGAGATGAGGATAACAGTCCGAACAATGTAAATAGGGTAAATAGTTGCAATGTTCCAAACAGCTATTTTTTTAATATTTATTATTATTTGTATATGGATTTATTTATTGGGCTTGTCCGGAAAGTTCATGTCGATTTTTAATGGAAATTAAAACACAAAACAAAATTATGCCATTAAATATTTATTCACCTAAATATGAACCATTTTGTTGTACAACCTTTCTCCATTTTTATCTTCAATTTAAAGATTCCAGCTTCCCAGAATTTTGGTGATTTCTTGGCTAAGAACTCATTAAGGTTTTTTTTTCATGTCAGCCAAAGAATTAAAATATTTACCATTGAGATTATTTTGCAAGGAACTGAATAAATAAATAAAAATCCGAAAGAGCGATGTCTGGTGAATTTTTGCCGGGTCGCCAAAGAAACGTGAAGTCTGGCACTATCCTGATGGAAAGCAACACCTTTCCTGTTCGACAATTCTGGCCGTTTTTCTTGAATTGCTGCCTTAATTCGTCCAGTTGCAAGCAGTATTTTTCAGAATCAATTGACTGGTTATTTAGCAGAATCTCATAGAACAGGATTCCTTTCCAATGTCACCAGATGCACAGTATGACTTTCTTAGACATGCTTTTGAGGTGGCTAAAGTTGGCTCATGTCGCTTACCCCATGATCTTTTTCGCTGGACATTGTTGTAAACTATCCATTTCTCATCACCTGTTACAATTTGCTTCAAAAAGGGTGAATTTTCATTGCGTTTATACAGATGAAATGCGATCCAAAAGATTCTTTTCATTCAGATCATGTGGTACCCAAACATCGTAGCGACTTAAATACCCAGACATCACTAAGCGCTCATGGATGATAGATTTTGATATATTGAGTGTTTCTGCCAATTCCCACGTTGTGTAATGCGAATTATTCTCAAACAATATCTTGATTTGGTCGTTATCTGTAGTGAGCGGGTCTGTCTGAGCGTTCTTCATCAATAAGGCTACAATCACCAATTCAAAACTTAGAACTATGCAGAAGTAGTTTGCCATCAGTAAAAGCATCTTACCGCGTACACAGAACATGTCTTTTTTGCTGCTTGTGAGGCATACTTGCCTTTACAATCAGCTGTCTAAAATACACCTAATAATCTTCCATTTTCATAGGGACGCAAAATTGACACAAATTAAGTCATTTCAAACATTCTTTCTCAAGAAATAGTTTGAAGTGTGTTCTAATAGGAAAAGTAAGCATACTATATCTGTCGATAAATTTGACGTGTACCAATGTGTTGGAACATAAACATAGACCATGTCGCTTCTTTTCTATCAAACTTGTTTGGAAATATATATAGGGTGTATCCTGGCAATAAATATTTATTTAGACAAGTTGTTTGTTTTGTTTTGCTGCATACCAACCTCAATGGGTCATTTAATGCCGACAACTTTTTTTTTTTTCTTGGTAATATTTTTGTTTTGTCAAAAATCTATCTCTGGTAATATTTTTTTCTTCAAAACTTATTGCTGGCAATAGTTTTTTCTTCAAAAACGTAGTGCTGGCAATAATTTTTTTCTTCAAAAACGTATTGCTGGCAATAGTTGTCTTTTCTTCAAAAACGTATTGCTGGTAATAGTTGTCTTTTCTTCAAAAACGTATTGCTGGCAATAGTTGTCTTTTCTTCAAAAACGTATTGCTGGCAATAGTTCTTTTCTTCAAAAGCGTATTGCTGGTAATATTTTTTTTCCTTCAAAAAATTATTTCTGGTAATAATTTTTTTATAAAGTATTTCTGGTATTAAAACCTATTTTTACACTTTTATAATTCCTTTTACCTCAGTTTCGGGGTTAACTATTTGTCCATAGCTGGGACTCTAACAGGTGTTACCACCCCGGCAATTAGGAGGAGGTTACACGCTCCTGAAAGCCTCCTGATGAGAGGCCTTGCTGTTGGACGTAGTTTATCGTCTTACCCAGGATGTGGATGTAGTTTATCGTCATACCCAGGACGGTGAGACAAGTTGGGTTGAAACTAATACGCAAATGATGTCTATTAAACTTTCAATTTCTTTGAATTCATTCGTACGTAATAATAAATGAAATTAAAATGATCTGTGTTATGTTTATGTGGGAAGAGTGTTCTATCTATCTATATATAAAATTCTCTGACTTTCGTTAGTCCGACCCTCACACCCTCTAAAATAGCCATACATTGAGAGATCGAAACCAAATTTTGGAAGGAAGTGCAAACAGATATAGCAGGTACAAAGTACATTTCCTTTTACTAGTATGTGTAGCTTAGTACAATAAATTTTCATTATCTTGGGGTGGGGGTTAAAAGTTTTATTTAACATAAAAATACTCCCATTTTTTTTTAGATCGGTGTCACTCCATGCAAAGGAAGTAAAGCCACTAAGACACAAGGGATTACAGGTTGTGGAAGAATTAGAAACAGAAACATTAATAATGAGCGGGAAGAGGAAAGAGTAATCAGGAGGAGAGTAGATAGCGATTGACATTACATTTAAATTTTAAAATGTGTGCACGCAGCAAGGCGTGGGTAATTCGGCTAGTCTATATATAAAATTCTGTGACTTCTTTCTTCCTCAAGAGATAGTTTGATGTGAGCTCTAATCAGAAAAGTAAGCATATTATCTGTCGATAGATCAGACGTGTTAAAACATGAACGGCTAAAAATCGGTATGAAATTTCAGGGTAACCCAAATTTTAAAGGTCTTGGGTCAACCATTTTTGTTTTAATTTCTACAAAGAGCTGCCTGTATAAGCTTACTCTTTACCTGTTAACCACGGATTGTTGCCAGACAGAAGGGGAAATTAGCCCTTGTGATAAGGATATCCACTTGGCAGTGTATGAGCGTTTGTGCGTGAGTTGGGGTATTTTAATTCAGTTATAATATAAAAAAAATATAATATATAAATTAATATAATTTTATTACATATAAAAATTAATATAATTTTATAATATATAAAAAACATAAATAAATACATCTAAAAAATTTACTTCTCTTTAATATTGAATAAATTCTGAAAATTATTTACATTATTCGGACTATTGTCCTCATCTTTATTTATCATAACGTTTCGGACATTGTACGCTCCGGCCTTCTTCAGGTGGTTGGAATGTTGAACTTTATTTTTCATCCACATGGCACAGTGGATAAAGTCGTTAGTTAGATCCAGTGACAGGACCCAAAGAGTGTGAGCTCAATACCCGGTTAAGGCAGTGGAGAACTTTCAAATGGAAATTAACAGGAGATAACTGATAACTGACATCCATCAAACATGGCACGTGGAACTAGAACAGTCTACCCCAGTGGGTGAAATAAAGGGTTCAGTTCGACATTCCAAGCCACCTGAAGAAAATGGCGACAAAGATTAGGACAATAGTCCGAATTGCAAAAAAAACCCTCATCTCAGAAATGGAGACAGATACTGAAAGGCCGAAACGTTGTAATAAATATGGTGACAAAACAAGGGAATAATGTAAATGTCCGAATATCTGAAATATATATGTATATAATCCTAAAATTTGTAATAAATCACAAAGATGAGGACAATAGACTGAAATTAGTGTACAATTATTCAGAAATATAGACCAAAAATCATAATAAATATGATATTTTTATTCTTTAAAAAAAAATCTTTCTCAAAATTTTTTCTTGTTTAATCAATATGGTGACAAAGATGAGGATTAGTCTTATAATATAAAATTTAATAATATCATCTCAGAAATATGTCAAATAAATACGGGTTGTTCAATAGTCTGAATTTTGTACATATGATTATTTCAAAGACTGAAATTTGAAAAGTTTAATTAATAATTAACAATCAGTTTTTAAAAAATATTTTGTTTTTTATTTCTTTTTGTGTTGTCTGTGATTTTAATTTTTGTCAAGGGTAGGGGTTGTTGACTGAATGGGAATGATTATTCCAATGTTTGTGTATATCAAATGTTTTGTATTCGCTTTTGTTTATATTAAACAATGATGACGTAGGTCTCTCACACAACACAGACGCAAGAGTATCTTCTGTTCTTTTCTTATATACAAAGATAACTGAAAAATTATCCACACTTTCATCAAAACATGGCGCTGATGATTTTTGTCTTTCTCTCGTACATTTTGAAAATGAAAGCACCTTCGAGAATAAATCACGTGACATCGACGAAAACAGTTTACAAAAATACTCAACAATAAAATTTAATAAACTTGGGAAAAAATATCTTCCAGAGAGAAAGACTGAATCATTTCAGTTCGTTGTATTTCTGGGTCCTCGATTCACAATAAGAACAGAAAAAAAAGGTGTGGTTTGTTGTCGTCTGCTAAAAATATCAATTACCCTGAAAAGAAGAAAATTTCAATATTGATTGGAGAAATATGGTTGGTCTCTTTACGCCTAAATATACACAAAATAACGGTTTGGAAATACAAGACAATGGGTCACGTATCTGAGATATTGAAGACAATGTGTCTGGACTGCAGCCGTGAGGATGGGTAAAGAAAATTCCCAATTAAGACAATACATTTTGGCAAACCACTCTCATTCCCTCCGTATTTTATCAGCGAGAAGTAAGTTCCACTCGAACAGCTTCATTCCTTCGAACCTCTACCCTGTGGAACTGACTCCCAAGAGGATGTTTCCCCAATCACTACAATCTTAAACTGTTCAAGTCTACGGTTAACTGTTATCTTCCCATCCTATACGTATAAACTGCCTTTTAATGAAACTCTCAAACTCGAATAGACCATAGGCCTTCTACAAGGTGGACCTTACTATTATATATATATATATATATATATATATATATATATATATTTATATATATATATTTATTTCTGTAGTTATGCTACCAGCAAGCAGAAATATTTAGATATTGATGATGGCCATTTTGGTAAAACTAGTCGAGGAATCTAAATGAAATAATAATAATAAAAAAAAAAACGAAAGAATATTAATCTACAACCCAGTGTGTCTAAAGATTTTAATTTTTTAATTTTTTTATTGTTAAAAAAAAAAAAAAAAATATATATATATATATATATATATATATATATATATATATATATATATATATATATATATATATATATATATATATATTTAATATGAATCTTCAATGAATGATGAACGTACATTCATATCTGATCGTGGCGTATCAAATGCCTTTAAATACAGTAAATTCGACCTTGCTAACCGAACGCTCCTCTGTGGCCAAATCGGTTAAAAACATGTCAAGCTATATGACGGTTCCGTATAGGATACAGGTTCGAATCCTGTCGGACGATGAATATTTTCTGTGAAGATTTCTCGGACATTCAGGCCGGTAAATGTTGTTTAATGCTGTTTATTATAAACAGATCATTTACTTAAATATTTGTATCTATAAAAAGAATGTATAAAAATGTCTTTATATATAAATTCCCCAGAGTATAGAATCCAGGTAGAACTCAATGTCCAGGACAGAGTAAGAATATATTAAAAAAGGCTCAAACACTAATAGTCCATGGTTATCATTTATTACATTCTAATCGTAATCATGATCCAATTCATCAGACCTACAAATTCAAAAAGAAATCGGAATATATATATATATATTAACCTTTAATTATCTTAAGTTGCAATATTTTATTTAATTTCCTAATTAACCTAAAGCTGTACTTTACTTTCAAGTATTTGAAGATATTTTTAAAGGTACAAAATCTAATGAAAGTGTGTAGCTTAATATTAAATGACATTTTTAAAAGCGAAGCAACCTGTTTCACTTCTGCTCTTCAGGCCTCTACGGGAGAATTAACTTAGATTAAAACAACCAGAAAATGTGTAATGAAGAGGAGAAAAAAAAATGAACACAAAGAGCTAGACATAAATAACAGCGAGCCCCAACAAACATTCACGCTGTTTACAGAGGGAAGGTTTGCGGGACCCAATATAAAGATTTTTTTAAGCGTTTCACCCCAAGCAAGGCGGGAAGCCACTAGCACGCAAGGGGGTTACAGAGAGTTAGAGCGAGAACAAAGAGGAATGATAGAGGAAAGGGTGAAGAGAAGGATAGGGGATAGATCAAGGCAACTGGAGACGTCGATTGACATTACATTTGAATAGTTGGAGATTATAGCTATCAGCGAAACAGGAAAAAAAGAGGGAATTCCACAGGCGAGAGGTGCGAGACATGAAGCTATTGGAGTAGAAGAGACGGCTACATTTAACAGTTTCGACAGTGAAAAGGTGAGAGCGAGATGCCAGCCTGGTCGAACGCTTAAATTCATGAAGTCTGGGAACCAGCGAAAGCAGCTCATCGGAGCAGTTACCGTGAAAGTATTTTTTTAAGCATTACGCCCCGAGCAAGGCGGGAAGCCACTAGGATGCAGGGGGTTGCAGAAGATTTGAGCGAGAGCAGATAGGAGTGATAGAAGAAAGGATGAGGAGAAGGATAGTGGATAGATCAAGGCAACTGGAGATGTCGATTGATTATAGCTCTCAGGGAAACAGTAATAGGGAAGGACGTTCTACAGGCGAGAGGTGCGAGATATGAAGCTATTGGAGTGGAAGAGACGGCTACATTTAAAAGCCTCGTAGCGCACTTGAATTCATGAAGTCTGGGTACTAGTGAAAGCAGCTGATCGGAGCAATTACCATGAAAGTATAAAAAAGACTGAAGAAGGCGACGGCACGTCTAATTATTATTATTATTATTAAACAGTGAGAGACTTAAAAGCAAATGTAAGTCTCGAGAAAATAGAACGGAAGGTCTCACAAGAGAAAGAAATAAAAGAATGTAGTGTCATGGACTGACAGGCAGATCAAGAAACCTGTACGCCAGGGAGAAGAGATCGTGCAAGGAAATATATTGATTTGTGGTTGACAGGCCAAAGCTGAAATGATAGCTTCTATGGCTTCCCTCAACAAGACTTCATTGCTTTGTGGTCATTATTAGATTGATTTCGTCGGCCATTTTGAAGGGCACGTCTCCCGATCGCCTTTCATTCTTGGCTCGTTCATTTTGGTAAATGTAAAGAGGTTTGGAGTTTATGAAGGTTTTCCTCCTATAGAAATGAAAAAGAAATTAATGAAATAAAACCAAAATAGATAAAACTAAATAAAAAGAAATATTCATTTTATATATATATATATATATATATATATATATATATTGAACAATAAAAAAAATATTAAAAAATTAAAATCTTCTGACACACTGTGTTGTAGATTAATATTCTTTCGTTTTTTTATTATTATTTAATTTAGATTCCTCGACTAGTTTCGCCAAAATGGCCATCATCAGGAGGAGAAATATTTCTGCTTGCTGGTAGCAGTAAATATATAGATATATATATATATATATATATATATATATATATATATATATATATATATATATATATATATATATATATATATGTATGTATATAATGTGTCACAAGGGTATGCAGAAAAAATATAAGAAAAGAACGCTTGAGGATGAAATTTGGGACTAAACATCTCAATTCAAATTAATTTTAATAATTATTTGGATGGTTACGGCTCTCGTTTTGAAACATGAGAACTCTTATTTATAGAAGGAATCATATTTTTTAAAAAAAATTATTATAATATATATATATATATATATATATATATATATATAATTAAAATATATTATATAAATCTATATTTTATTTATTTTTTTCGCCTTTTTTTATTTTGAGTTTGAAGGTTCTTTGAAATATTCTTTTATTCATTCATTTATTCAAGATTTTTTTCCTTAATTTTTGTCAAGTTAAATTCTATCCATTTTTTTTTATTTTTTTCTCTCATTTGAGTTTTTTCATTTTTCTTTCTTTCTGTGTTTTATTTTTTCTTTCTTTCTTTTTTCATTTTTTGGTTTTTGCCAGAATTTTTTTTTTTTCATTTTATTTTCTTTCTATTTTTTTTATTTTGACAGACTTTAGTTCTTCATTTTCATTCTTTCTTTCTTTCTTTTTTCTTTGGTTTGACATCAACTTTTGGTTCTTTTTTTTTCATTCTTTCATTATTTTTTTTCTAAATTTTTTTATTTTTTTTTTAAACATTTTTGACAGACTTTTGGTTCTTTAAATTTTCATTCTTTTTTATTTTCTTTGGTTTTGACAGATTTTGGTTCTTCATTTTTTTTCTTTCTTTTTTTTTTCTTTCTTTCTTTTTTTTCTTTGGTTTTGACAGACTTTTTTTTCTTCATTTTCATTCTTTTTTCTTTCTTTTTTTTTCTTTTTTTTTCTTATTTTCTTTGGTTTTGACAGACTTTTGGTTTTTTTATTCTTTTTTTTTTTTTCTTTTCTTTCTTTCTTATTTTTCTTTGGTTTTGACAGATATTTTTTGGTTCTTATTTTTATTTCTTTTTTTTTTCTTTTCTTTTTTTTTTTATTTGGTTTTGACAGACTTTTGGTTCTTTTTTTTATTTTTTTTTTTTTCATTTTCTTTTTTTTTGACTTTTCTTTTTTTTTTTTTTTAAATTTTCTTTTTCTTTATTTTATTTCTTTTGGTTTTGACAGACTTTTTTATTCATAAATTCTTTCTTTCTTTCTTTTTCAAGAGATTTCTTTCTTTTTTTCTTTCTTTCTTATTTTTTGGTTTTCAGACTTTTGGTTCTTTTTTTAAATTTTTTTCTTTCTTTTTTTTTCTTTGGTTTTTCTTTTTTGGTTCTTCATTTTTATTCTTTCTTTTTTTTTTTATTTTTCTTTTTTTTGACAGACTTTTGGTTTCTTCATTTTCATTCTTTCTTATTTTTCTTTGGTTTTGACAGACTTTTGGTTCTTCATTTTCATTCTTTCTTTCTTTCTTTCTTTCTTTCTTATTTTTCTTTGGTTTTGACAGACTTTTGGTTCTTCATTTTCATTCTTTCTTTCTTTCTTTCTTTCTTTCTTTCTTATTTTTCTTTGGTTTTGACAGACTTTTTTTTTCATTTTAATTTTTTCTTTCTTTTTCTTTTTTTCTTTCTTTCTTTTTTATTTTTATTTGGTTTTTGACAGTTTTTTGGTTTCTTTTCATTTAAATTCTTTCTTTATTTTCTTTATTTTTTCTTTCTTTATTTTTCTTTGGTTT